TCTCTCTCTCTCTCTCTCTCTCTCTCTCTCTCTCTCTCTCTCTCTCTCTCTCTCTCACACACACACACACACACACACACACACACACACAAACTGTCTATAAAGCACTCTAGCAGCGCAGACACATGCACTCTCTCCCCCTCCGCCATGTCAAAATAGTACACGACATATATCGCACACATGTCGTGGACCTGAACGGCGGGCATTGGTACTGCCACAACCAACGCCATCTAGATTCATAGTTTGCATCATCGCCGTCAACTGCGGAGAATCTATGGCGTCCTGCTCGGGGGTGTAATAAACGGATGAGCCTTCGTCCTCCGAGTCACTGCGCGTGCCTGGTGTGCAAAACCTGATATCTTCACTGCTGTTTGCAGGTGGCTGCCTGGAGGTGACGGGGGTCTCATGTCGTTCATTGACAGAAGCTGCCGCAGTCTCGTCCACAGCATACATCAACTTTAGTAGCTGTAGAGCTTCGACAAGTGTACTTGCCAAGAAGGCATCTTGCTCGCGATACCGCCTCGTCTGTGGGCTTTACCGGTGCAACAATCTTGGCCTCCCCGAGATGGGATCTGTATACCATACCGCATCTGACATGACCACGTGATTGTGTTCGACGAGTTGTGGCTGCACCAGTTGTTCCACTCCCTCAACGCTTCCGTCTGACCCGAGAAGAAGGGGCGGACGACATTGCATATGCTCGCACTTGCGATGGCAAGTGCCCTCCTCACTCTCCCTCTCTCTCTCTCCGACTTGTTTGGCTACCTGGCAGAAAGAGCAACTTGTTGATAGATATTGCGAGTGAGGGCTCAAAAATGGCCCGTCCACTTCACCGCTGCTGGCAGATATGGCAACATATGGTGTGACACAGAGCTTTACCCGCAGCAGAATCAGAACCTGCTGCCCTGCTATGCACACGATGTATCACCGGTTGATCGTTCGCTATGACACGTTGTCTGCAGCCCAACCGTCGCAGCACGACATCAACGTCCTCGCCCATGTCTATAAGAATGTAATGGAACTGCCTCGACAAGGTTTTGATGTTGGGTCGGTGTGCCAGTGGTCTGTGAAAATTATGGAAACGTCCTTTTAAAACGTCGTTGCCACACTCATTGTCGACACGCACCAATTTAAAACGAGAGTTCAACACTGTGCACTCACGACCGCGATTAGTGGGCCCATAGGGGGTGATCAACCAAGGGAGCAGAGGATAACCTGCATCCCCGAGAAGGTTACCCCCCCCCACATTGTTAACAAGTGCGAGGTCCCTGTGTCTGATATCTTGAACGAACAGGCTACCCGAACAAGCGTGCAGGTACAATGAGTTGTTCTTGAGAACTAGAGAGTCATGGACCGTGCCAGGAAGACCTACGTGCACGTCCAATATACGAAGATTGTGGTCGAACACAAGGTGCGCCACAACCGAGAACCGCTTCGTTATGCCAGAACACTATGTGTCACCACACACATTAGCGGGCTTATCCACATATACATGAGTGCAATCAATGCTCCCCCAGCAATCCGGGAAACCACAGGCTGCATAGTATGGCACGGAAGCCTCACGATCGGCGGCTATGCCGAAAGAGATAACATTCAAGTTAGGAAAGTACTTGATGATGGCTTCCGACATGTCGTCCACGGACCTCAGCGTTCCCATCTGACAACCCCATGCACTATGGCGAAAGATATGTCCAGTGGCCCACCAATGAATGGTGTAAGCTAGTAAATGAGCAGGAGCGAGAGGGCGTTTAAACCGCGTGACTTGCCGTGTCAGACTTGGATGTACAACGACTAGAATGTGATCGAAAGTGGAGCGTTTCATTTGAACTAAAGTCTTGTAGAAGACGCCCTCAACATCGTCCTGGATGGTCATGCTGCCCCACTGACCGGTTCCTCGCCTCATCACCCACCACCATGGGGGTTCCCTAGGCAAGATGTCAGCCGTATGCACACAAATCTGAGAGTTGGTGGTGCAAATAGAGCATTGGATGTATCCATCTCCTGGACCTGCCAGGCCTGAGGATGACAGCAGAATGGAGAACAGTCGTTGCTGATCCGCCGTGCACGCGAAGTCATTCATGGACTCGAGGAAACGACGAGCGTCCTCCATTATCTGGAGAGCCAGGAAAACAACGACTAAGAGACCACTGTCCATCTCTCTCTCTCTCTCTCTCTCTCTCTCTCTCTCTCTCTCTCTCTCTCTCTCTCTCTCTCTCTCTCTCT